TGGCTTCTGCACATGCGCAGAACAATTTTTATTGTACTGTGCATGCACACACAGTGCGCATCAAGTACGCCTGCACGAAGCGCCCATGAGCAAACCGGCAGTAGTAGCTGCCAGAACCCACCCCTGATGTGTGTCAACCAGAAACCTGTAAATATACAGTAACAATAAACATTGGTTCACAGCTAATCCTAAGCAGCTATGTCGTACCAAAGACAAAGCCTACAGAAAAGGCAATAGAATGCTGTACAATCAGGCCAGAAACGTATTAACAAGGGAAATCAGAGCAGCAAAAAGTAGCCTCTCTGGAAAGCTAAGGAGTCAGTTCTCAACAAATGAACCAGCAAACATGTGGAAAACCAGTTAAATCAAACCTCCTTCCCATGCTGAAAGAAATCAACAACTGGCAGATGACCTGAATGTGTTTTACTGTAGGTTTGAGAGAAAACTACTGCCACCTATCTCCACAATCCCCGTCTCAGACACACCAACAACAGCCAAGCCACCTACAATTAACCCCATCCCATTGTACCTCTGGTGATTACAGAAAACAAGGTGCAAGATCTATTTCACAGGCAAAAGGCAGGAAAAGCACCAGGCCCAGACAAGATAACTCCTTCTTGCTTAAAAGCCTGTGCTGACCAACTGGCCCCCACCTTCACCCGCATCTTTAATGAATCAGTAGAGATGTACTATGTTCCTTCTTGCTTCAAATGCTCTACTATCATCCCAATGCCAAAGAAACCCTCCATCAAGGAACTGAATGACTTCAGACCGGTCCCTCTAACATCTGTAGTTATCAAAACCTTTGAAAGGTTAGTGCTGCCCACCAGAAAACCATCACGGATCTGCTGTTAGACCCCTTGCAATTTGCCTACTAAGCAAATAGATTGACAGATGATGCTGTTAATATGACTGTGCACTACATCCTACAACATCTTAAATCTCCAAAGACCTATGCAAGGGTCCTCCTTATAGACTTCAGCTCAGCATTCAATACCATCATTCCAGATATTCTAATTAAACTAGATCAACTAGCTGTACCTGACCACACTTATAAATGAATCATAAGCTTCTTAACAGGCAGGAAGTAAGAGGTGAAGCTGGGCAAAATCACATCAGATACCTGTACAATTAGCACAGGGGCCCCCCAGGGCTGTGTGCTGTCTCCACTTCTCTTTGTACACAATGACTCCATCTCAAAAGATCCCTCTGTTAAAGTATTAAAGTTTACAGATGATACAACAGTGATTGGTCTCATTCGAGACAACAACGAATCTGCATACAGATGGGAGGCTGAACAACTAGCCTTGTGGAACAATCTTGAACTAAACACACTCAAAAACATAGAAATGGTGGTAGATTTTAGGAGAAACCCTCCTATGTTACTACCTCTTATAATACTAGACAACACAGTATGAACAGCAGAGACCTTCAAGTTTCCAGGTTCTATCATATTTCCAGACTTTAAATGGACACCTAACATCAAAATTGTCATAAAAAAAACACAACAAAGAATGTTCTTTCTGCGCCACTAAGGAAGCTCCAACTGCCCAAGGAGCTGCTGATTCAGTTCTACAGAGGAATTATTGAGTCTGTCATCGGCACCTCTATAATTGTCCAGTTTGGCTCTGCAACCAAACAAGACAGACACAGACGGATAATTAGAACTGCAGAAAAAACAATTGCTACCAACCTGCCTTCCATTGAGTACCTGTAAAAAGAGGGCTGACCCCTCACATCTTGGACATAAATTGTTTCAACCTCTACCCTCAAAACAACTCTATAGGCACTGCATACCAGCAGAACAACTAGACACAAGGACATGCCATCACTCTGCTAAACAACTAATTCTCACAACACTGTCAAAACTATTTACTAAGACTGTATTACTATTATTCTTCTCAGCCTTCCTATTAACTATCTCCTCCCACTTATGACTATAACCATGTTGCTTCTATTTTTACGATTTATATTGTTCTGTTTGTTTCCTAGTATGATGTGATTGCTTATTAGTAACCTATGACTATCACTTAGTGTTGTATCTTATGATTCTTGAAGAATATATTTTTTTCTTTTTCCTTTTTTCCCTTTTATGTACACTGCGAGCATATGCACCAAAGACAAATACCTGGTGTGTCCAATCAGACTTGACTAATAAAGAATTCTGTTCT